CACATTCCATTTGTAACATTTGTCCATCAAAACTTCACAATTATATAAATCCAATCATACTCAGTCATATCCATCAAATAGCATAAGAGTCATTCATATCATCCACCCCTGATCGACAACTTAGGTTGTATAGTTTACTTTTAGTGGAATACTACACTTACATTACATATATTTGTATAGTTGCTTCACCTTTATATGTAGGATATATAATACACATTCTTATATCTATAGGCATATAACTCTAACTTAGTAATTGTTTCGCTGCTAATAGTTATGTCGTATAGTGCAAATACCATAACAGGTTGCTATGCTAGTCAAAATTTTATGTATAATTTGGAATGACATGTTAATAGTGGATGACCATTGTTTAACTTTGTAAACTAAGAGACTAAATTGTTATAAAAAAAATGAGAACAAATGTAATGACCTGTCATAGTTCCTACACTTAATGAAACTATTTAAAATTAACATACATACAATATTTGGACATACATGCCATAATCCAGTAATCCAATGCTGAAAATATGAAAAATTCTATTTGTCGATCAATCAATATCTACATACCAACTATATAAGAGTAGCCTAATAATACACATTGCCATCCTCCAACATGGCCTCAACACGAACTCAATGTTTATCCTTACCTTACTCTCATATCAAGTATGATCATCGTAGTCTCAATCATAAGGAAACATGCAAGGGTAAACTATTATACAAAAGAATCAACATGCAATCGACTTTACAATATACAACCTCTACTACATAACATCTCAACTTCACAACATTTTAACATGTTTAACTTCCAACACAACTAGATAATTCATGGTGTCAATATAGCATGTGAACAACATCATACATCAGCATATCACATACATAACACACCATTCAACTTGAACCACATAACAACACCACACCACTTGAACCACATAACAACACCATACCATCAAAATAACAACATAGCATATGCACAACACCGTTAAACAACTCAACAACATATGAAACTCATAATAACTAAATGTGTAATCAAACATTTCAACTAGGAGATCTCTTACAATAAAAATGAGCAATCTAAGTGGTTTGACTCTTACCAAACCAACAACACAATATATTCAATGTAGTTAGATCAACAATTAATTTGGATAAAAATCTACAATAACATAATTTCTTGAATTTCGTCACTTAAACTATAAAACTCTTGTATTCCTCTTAGAGTAGAACAACTTGGGTGTGAGCTTACCACAACATTAGCTTGCATAACTAAGTCACCTATGGGATTAGCCTGCCCACTACCCTCTAAATACTATGCTTTTTCTAGTACTTAGTTAGGGATTTTGGCCCCTGACCTTGTACCATATTCGATTTGACCACTTTATGCACGTATGGATCGATCTGACCCCATACGGATCAACATTGATCGCTTTATAATTAGTATAGTTCAACCTGAATCCTATATTGTGATCACTTATAGACAATATGCATCGACCTTACTCACATACCGCATCAACTAAGTCCCTAAAGGAGACTCAACGATCCACTTTGCGGTCAACTTCCCAAGAAATCTTTTCAACAAATTGGGCTTCTGAAGCACCACAACATAATATTCTCGATGCTACTCAACCTACGTCTGATGTGAATGAGGTAGAGGGCTTTTGTTGTAGTCATGCATAGCATGGCTAAATTAATGCCTAACCCTATTTTAGGTAAAGGGTTTCTTCCTAACTCATGTTCAAGGCTATTGAACCAGCATTTGACATCATCTAGGCAAAAAAACTTATATTTTGATCATGTCTGGCACCACTCAACTAGAAGGAGTTACCCCAGAGCAATCGGTAGCTAGGTTGATGTATTTCCAAGTCAACAAAAAAAAAGACTTAAAACGTATTGAAAGACCTTTTTCAGCGACAATTTTATCTAAAGTCTTTTTATCTTTTCAATTCAAAATGCTATGATCAAATAGACTGAAGAGAGACAAAGCATACCATGAAAAAGCATCCAAACTAAGAAATCTCGGTTTCCTTTGTCCTCAAAAATAGGCTTAGAAAAAAAGTCTATCATAGATAGGATACGAATAGATAAAAAATGTAGGGGAGTAATTCAAATGTTATAATAGAGCCCAAAGGGCTTATATGTATGGTGAAACTAACTCTGAATGAAAGAAAGATAGATCAACCAAGCCATTGAAATGACTCTTTCAATTAGAGTAGAAAGAACGAGAACTACACTTTGAGAAGCAAGGCTCCAACATAGAACTAAAGTGCTTGACGTCACCAAGTCAAAGTTTTTCTCTCTCATCCACACCTAGCACCATGTAACTCAAGCTCGACATGATCAAGTCAAAGAACTTCTCTTTGTTCATGCTTGTTGCCACAATTTTGTGCTTAATGTTAGTGAGACAAAGCTTCTAACGTGTGTCACGCTTAACATGATGGTGATTTCTACACTTGACAAAATCATATACTGGTTTAAGACCACTTGAAATTCAGGCACTACCAACATTCATTACACCAATTCATACATGCATAACATAGGCACCTTAAATCCAACCAGAATTACAACATGCAACATCATATTCTTAAAATCATCAAGTTCTTCTCTTCAAAACCAAGAACCTGAAAGATTAACAACCAAACTTCAACATCATGCAACTCATCAATATAAATGCAATCATTCAACAACTGTTTCATACACAAAACCTCAAAGATTAACAAAGAACTAGGTTCTAGCTCCCTTTACCTTAAAATCCACTAAAATGAGAGGAAGAAGAAACCAAGCTTAAGGAACTCCACACTGAGACCACAATATCCAGATTCCAAGCTTTCCAAGCTTGAATCTCTTATAAGCAATTCTACTACAATATTCTAAAACTCTTAGAAGACTAAAAAGAATAAGAAAGAAAGTTAAGATTTATAGTTCCGATCTCTATTTTCTCTCTAAATTTCTTTAAGAAATAAACTTATAAAGATTAAGTCTTAAAAGAAACCTTTTATATACCCCTTACAAAACAAACTGGACCTTTACCCTTAGAAACCTCTAAACAACTAAAAACTCATAAGAAATTTCTAAATTCTAAAGTTTCTCAACAAATAAACAATAATTCACCACAATACAATAATTCAATAAATCAACAATTATTAAAACGTCCAATGTTATACCAAAAGTAAATTTAAGCCTAAAATAGAAAAATTGAGCTAATAAGACTTGTCGAAATATATAAATATTTGTAACACATTTTTTTGACACTTTAATTATACTCTTTATTTTGAGAACGCTTCATTAAATTAACTAATCACCAAGTATTTTATTTTTAAAATGTATTTTAGTTATAAATTTAATTATATTTTTAGTTTTTCTTTTCACTTTTTTAGATTATTTAGTCTTAATTTTTAAAATTTAATTTTTTACAGTTACTTTTTTTTTAAATAAATAGTCAAAGTAAATTTATCTTGAAAAATAGTAAATATTTTATTACATGCATTGATATAAACACCCTTAAGTTTTTTTTTAAAAAAAATCTATTTTATTATTTGAAAATATTTTTAAATACTATCAATTTATTTAACTTTTATTTTTTATTTTTTTAATTATATTCATATTAATAATGTGCGTGTGAAAATCCATTTAACATAGTGGTACGATATTAATTAGAAGAATCACAAGATTGACCAAATGATGAAGGAAGAGTTAGTTTACACAAAGTCGAAAGTTTCGATTATGTTATCATCTTTTTAATTTTTTATTCTGATAAAGATATTAAATAAAAACATTAACTAGTAAATGTAAGATTAAAAAATATTTCAACATAAAAAAATGAAAAAATATTTAATTTCTAAGGTTTTTTATATTTTTATATTTTTTTTATAGAGGATGAGCTATTTATTAAATAGAATAATGAAATAATAATTAAAATATACCAACATTTTAAAGTGTTTTGAATTCGCTCATCTGTTTATTTGGTAGGGGTGGAAGTCAAGCTGGTTTGGGTCTAAAAATCCCAATCTGAGCCCACACTATTTAATTTTTCACCCAAATTTGTTTGAATGCAACTTTCGTTTGAGCAGGTCGAGTGCTGTTGAGTTATGGATTTTGACAGGCATATTTGCTCAATTTGGACCAATATTTGAGCACAAATATTTATTTATTCATATTAATTATCTGACTATTGTTTTTAATAATTTTAGAAAATAACAAATTGAGTGGATAAAGATTGTGAAAATTAAACATGACCCATAAATTAAGTCATAATTGTATTTTAATTAATTATAAATTTATAGTTTTTGTTTATATAACTATTAAATCATTTTAAAACTTGACTCTTATTTTCTTTAACTTAACAATTAAAAACAATTCAATAATAATTACCGATACCCATAACTTTTATCAAAAAACTAGAAAATTTTCAATTTAGATTTGGACCTTACTTTGTGTATGATGTTTGGACATGTTCTGTTTCCAGTTTGCAACGTATTCAAAAATTTTAAATTGAATCTGCCCAAAATTACTCATATAAACCCATTTTTTACCCGATCAAACTAAAAACCTACCCGAAAATCATTTTTTTTTCTATTTGGACTATTTGACTCTTTTGCACCATCTCACATTTTGGACCAAACAATTTTTAATTACCAAATTAAAAAAAAAAATCAGTCAATGTATGAAAATTAAATTCTAATATATAATTGACTGAAAATGAAAAAGAAAAAGAAATGTGCAAAATAATTGCAAGGTAAAATATGAAATTGAAAAAAAAAATGTCCCCTACTTTAGGATTATTTTATTTTAGTCAATGTTTGATCACATTGATTCATTTTTATTACCCTTTATTTTTTCAGTACGTAAAAGCTTTTTAATTAACAACATTTGAGTAGCATGTCTATTTAATTAGATCGTTGTCCCTTTTAGTTGCTTTTTTAGAGTGGTTAATTTATTATAACAAAAGAGAGCGGTGTCTTGGTACTTGAACAGAAAGTTGTAACGATGGCAATGGAAGAGGAAGTAAATGATGAAAGGAAGAAGGATGATTAATGATTTGCATAAAATGTTATTTAAGATATATATACCAATCCCACAAAATATGTTGGTTTTCAAGAACTAAATTCATCATCCATTATTTTGTTGAGGGCGCTTCATTTTGAGAAGATGGGAGACTCCTGCAATAACATGTAAACGACTATTTGGGACACCTGTCTTTGCCAGGGCCTTGCCATTGTTGTCAAGAATCACAAAGCAAGGAACATAGCTAACATCATAATTAAGGAGCTGCAATACAAGGATTTTAAAATAAGACAGCAATAAGTCATAATGAACAAACTGTATTCTTCTGAAATTAAACAAATAAATAACATAAATTCCAACTATTCGTATACAACATTACCCGCAGGTATTAACGGATACCAAAACCAAAATTTCAATGAAGGTCGTGCAAGAATATCGAGAAATAATACCTTGAATTATTCTCAAAGGAAACCCACGAGACTAGATTCTAAGTTCCACATGATTTCCAGAAATAGAAAAGCTAAAAAAAGAATATATTCAGAGAAAACTTGCAAGTGCATCCGAAAATTTGGAATTTCACTGTTTCCATCATGTAAAGGATAAAGGCCCCACCCAAATCTCTTAACTAACAATGTATTTTACTCTTAAATTAAAATTTGATGCTCTTCCAGTACATTTCCAAAAAATTGATGTTCCTTACCAGAACCATCATCTCAAGTTTCGCAAAGAAATATGTCAAAATGGATCGCCATTCATATCAAAACTGGATGCGTTGAAGGACATATATATGAAAATGGATCTAGAATGTGTGGTTTAAAACTTTTAGACTGAAGGGTGATCCTAGTGCGGGTCTCTCTATCTGAGTAGAATGCCGGCATTGCCCATTCATCAATTTTGAATAGCATGCAAACAATTGAGATGTCCAGGGTATAATTTGACAGTTGAGGTAACATGATTTGCTACAATGCATGCTGTTCATAATCCAAGGCAAGATACTAAGTTAAGGCCGATTTACGCAGCAGCTGGTATGTAATTTTTCTTTTTCATGCAAAGGTAATTCTGAAAGAACAACAACAAAGTCTTATCTCACCATGTGAGATCAGCTACATGGATCACATGATGGCATGATGGCATGATGCCATTTGGCACAATTAAAGACCAAAGTTTCAAAATAATTCTGAAAGAATGCATAAAAAAATAAATAAAAGCCAATTGATATTCACGTGAAGAGTCAAGAATGCAATACTACTTGAAAAGGGATATATTAACAATCACAATTGAAAATAATAAAAATGAGAAAAAAGCCTGCATCTTAAAGGGGAGGTGAAAAAGGCTTGGTGACCAAGACACAGCGTGTACCTAATGGCTTAGTCAGATCTGTCCAAAAGTGGTTCAGCATAGGGGTAAGTGGTAACAAATGAATGGATCAAATAATTTTTTAGACAGATCATAATGAATCAAATAAAAATAATCTATTCAGATCCATTAAATATTCACATAAAAATTCAATACATATACATCCATTAACAATTTTTTCATGGATGAATAAATATTTTAAAAATTAAATAATTTTTATTTTAAAAATATTTTATTTCTCACTCTTTTCTTTTTAAGTCATTTCATTCTTATATAGTTTTTTAAAATTCACAAGACCTTTTTTGTGTGTCAAAATAGTCTTTTAAAATTTCAATTCAATAACCATATCATATTGTAATCTAATGGATTTAAAAAAAAAAAAAAAAAAAA